GAGAGAAAGATAACAAAAGAATTAGAGAGACAAATATAACAGGAAAATAAAATTAAAATTATTAAACTAACTTCCTATTTTTTGCTTTCAAAATTTTGAAAGTAAAATAAATTATTGAACATTATTTCACTTTCTATTTCAGTTCAAGAAATCAAAATCATGATTTTACTTTTTCAGAAAGTAAAAATAAGAAAGTGAAAGCGTTAGTAAACGGGCCCTTAAAGAGTCCCCCATTAATACCTCTCTAGAAGATTCAAATGATGCACCTCCAAAGACTTGGAAATATATACCTGATCACCCCTTAGATCAAGTCATAGGTGATCCATCCAAAGGAGTTGGCACTAGATCTCAACTTAGAGATTTATGCAATCAAGTTTGGAATTTAGTTCCTAGACCAAATGACAAAACCATCATTGGGACCAAATGGATTTTTTGAAATAAAAAGGATGAATCGGGGATTTGTGTAAGGAACAAGGCAAGACTTGTTGCTCAAAGGTATAATCAAGAAGAAGGCATCGACTGTGATGAAACCTTTGCCCTCGTTGCTAGACTAGATGCTATTAGAATGCTTCTTGCATTTGCATCAAACAAAAATTTTAAATTATTTCAGACGGATGTTAAAAGTGCATTTTTGAACAGTTTTATCGAACAAGAAGTCTTTGTAGAACAACCACCGGGCTTTGAAAATTATGAATTTCCTCACCATGTTTTCAAATTGTCCAAAGCTTTATATAGTTTGAAACAAGCTCTAAGAGCTTGGTATGAAAGACTAAGTGGTTTTCTACTTGAAAATGGTTTTATTCGTGGTAAAATAGACAATACTTCATTCACGAAAACCATTGATAGAAATTTGTTGATTGTCCAAATCTACGTTGATGATATCATTTTTGGATCAACAAATAATGACTTATGCAAAGAGTTTGCCTCTATCATGCAAAACGAGTTTGAAATGAGCATGATGGGAGAACTTAACTTCTTCTTAGGTTTGCAAATCAAACAATCTCTTAATGGCATATTCATTTGCCAATCTAAGTATGTTACAGATTTGTTAAAGAAATTTGGCTTGGAGGAAGCCAAACATGCCAAGACTCCTATGAGTCCATCCTTGAAACCTGAAAAGGATGAAAAGGGAAAAATTGTTGACATTAAGAAATATAGAGGCATGATTGGTAGCTTATCGTATTTAACCGCTAGTAGACCGAACATCATGTTTAGTGTTTGTTTATGTGCTAGATTTCAATCTTGTCCTAAAGAATCTCATTTAATTGTCGTTAAACATATTTTTAGATATTTATGTGGCACAATTGATTTGGGTTTATGGTTTCCACGTCACACTTCATTCGATTTAGTTAGCTATTCAGATGCCGACTTTGCCGGATGTAAAGTGGATAGAAAGAGCACAAGTGGCAATTGTCATATCCTAGGACACTCTCTAGTTTAGCAAAAAGCAAAATTCAGTTGCTCTATCCACTGAAGCGGAATACATCGCCGCTGGTAGCTGTTGTGCTCAAGTACTCTATATGAAGCAACAACTTGAAGATTTTAAGTTGAAATTTGATCATATTCCTATTTAATGTGACAATACTATTGCCATAAATATATCTAAGAATCCCATTCTTCATGCACATACAAAACACATAGAAATTAGGCATCATTTCATTTGTGATCATGTGCAAAAAGGGGGATATAGACCTAGAATTTATGAGTACTAATTTTCAATGGGCCGACATTCTTACAAAGCCTCTCCCAGAGGATCATTTTTGTACAATTCGTAGAGAACTTGGCAGTGTAGATCTACAAATCTTATATAAATTAATTATTACAAGTATCCTAGTTTCAACGAGAAAACATAGGATGCCTCTGGATCTCAGCCATGAGTTTCTTGTGTTGTTCATTAATTAGATCTCCGGAACTCTGCAACTCTGCGAGCCTTGCTCCAAAATCTTTAGCATACAAATCCACCATTTTCTTTAACTCTTTATTTTCCATATTAAGCACTTTAACTCTCTGCTGAGAATCATTAAGCATTCGCTGAAGGACTGCAACTAGAGTTTTTAGATGTCGAACTTCATTAGTTCTAGCCTGCAGTCTTTGACCCATGTTTGAAACAGATGAAGCACCCTGAATACTGAAAGCCAAAGAGTCATTAATGGTGTCAGAATCAGTCCTATTCGCCAATAATCTTTCATCTCTTGGAGTAATAATACCCCTAGCTACTACTGTAGCTGCAGTATCATTCAGCATAACTAAGTCATTAACCGTGAGCTGGCCATTTGGGTTAGAAATTCTGGGCGCCAGACATCTGTTTCTACATCAAGTACCACATTCAGGTCGAAACAGTTGTTGGAAAGAGAAGAGAAAGCCATTTCAGGAAAAATGAAGTCTTAGAAGGAAGATAAAATTCAGCAATGTCACTCTACTCAAGTAAATGGATCTTTGATCACGCCTTGCACGGTGAGATTTTGAAGATCATTTAAAGGTATCAATCTGATAACCATTCTCGATTTCTTCTGTAAGATTTGTCAACAGATTTCAAAATTTTCAACTTTTTCGAAATTTGTTTAATTTTCAAACTTCAAGATTTCTTCTGTAAGACTTGTCAAGATATTTCGAATTTCACGTTTCACTTTTTTCACTCGATCTTATCTTTCCGGATTTCTCGCATGAATTTGTCAAAAGTAGTTTGACATTATTTTTACCATTCGTCTTTATTCACTTCCCAATATTCTATATATTCACTCATCTTCTCCACTGCACCCCACACCTTCTGAAGGATGATGCAGCATCACAACTAGATTCATATAGCAACTTTTGATGTCCTTAAAAGCAAAAGAATATTTAACCATAGCTTTTAAAAGCAAGATTATTTCTAATCATCTCTTACAAAAGCAAGATTATCTCTGATCATGCATCTGAGATTTGCGAATGCAGTAGCCAAATCTCATAACAAGTTTCTCTCAATGCGCTTCCCGATACGTCTATGACAGAAGAGAGATAGCACATATCATCTGGGTACCTCGTCCATAACCTTTCTTGATTGCTTGCTACTTCTCGAACATAGCAAGAAGTATTCTCTCAATCTTGAAAGGGGAAGCATACCTACAGGGGGAGCTTTTGTGCCCCATCTTCACTGATGACAATAGGGGGAAAAATTCTTATACAAAATTTTAATCCAAATTAAAAAGTCTATTTGGTTCAACTTTTAAAATTTTAAATACTAATTTGTCATCATCAAAAAGGGAGAGATTGTTCGCCTTACGATTTCAAACCAAGCTTGTTGCTAATATTTTGATGATAACAAATTGTATTATGTTGTTCTAATGTATCTTGTTACTAATATTTTGATGATAACAAATTGTATTATGTTGTTCTAATGTATTTATATCACGTATGAAACAGATTCACTTATCAAAAAAAAATTAAACAGATTCAAATTCACATTCTCAAAGGACCGAAAGAACCAAAAGCATTTGAAGACATTTGGAACTCAAAGCAAGAAGCAAACTCTCAAGCTAAAGAATCCTTGCACCATTCGTAATAGTTAGGATATTCTTGTAAAGCTAGCTCTTTAATGATTGAACACTTGAGGCTCCTTACCCTAGAATGACCTTAGGACCCTTGCATGCATTTCTCATGAAAAACTGTTTTTCTGGCTAAATATGAAAAATGAATTTTTGAAATAATGATATTTTCAAAATAATTTTTCCCGGTTTTTACTCATTACATATTAATTAGCCAAATCTGATTTTATGAGATTTTATTATCAATTTTACATTGGTCTACATGAAGAATCATTTTTTACCAAAACTGTCGGGAACCTTACTTTGTACTAAAACTGAATTTTTACATTTTGATTTAGTTGGATTTCAATTTTCTTATATTTTTTATTGAATCCAAATGGGGGGTACTTCCTTATTTACATTGTAAACTTAAAGTAAATGGACATATAAAAATAGTAAAGACATTTACTTATGCAGAAAGTTTGGCAAAAAATCTGACAAAACTGTCTAAAGTTAAAAACCATTTCTGATTTCGGATAGCCATAAAATTTGACTTCAGTGTTTTAAGCTGTGATATCCACCAATTTTTGACTTCAACATTTAAGCTTCAAACGGATCCATTGAAAATTTGGTCTTCAAAGATACAAATTCAAAAGCTTGTCATCTTTTTCAAACAAAACAGCTATATTCACAAAATGCTCATTTTATACCAAAAAGTCTATAATCTTGAATGGCTATATTGGTTTATATATTTCTCATACTCTATAAATACATACCAAGAACTCTTATTCAAACAACTTACACTTCCAACTTCAAGCATTCAATTGTTCTCATACATTCATTCTCTCTTGAGACTTTTAAGTTCAATTCATACAAGAGCCATAGTGTAAGCAAGGAGAGTCATTATTGTGAGAATTTCATCTGTAAATCTATCTCAAAAAGGAGAGTTATTGTGAGCTTACAAATCTGTAATTCTATCTATTGAGAGAGATATCCAGTGTACAAAATCAATACAATCTTATATCTAGGATTGATATAATCCAAGGGCTGGTGTGACCCTAGGAGAAGGTTGTTCTCTAAGCATTTGAGAAGTGGTGTGCTTCTTGTTTGCTCTCCACCTAAAAGGAGAAGCCTAGTGGATTGGAAAGGTCTTGAGCCGAGGAGTAAGAGTTTCCGAACCTCGCTAAAATATTGGTGTCAAGTGTTTGCAATTTCTCTATCCCTTATCTATTTATTTTATGCTCATTGTTTAAATTTCTATCTAGCATTAAATTGTATAATTGCTTTCACTAAGATTTTAATTGAATCGATTAAATTCCATTGTTTGCCAAAGACCCTATTCACCAACCACTTCCCCCCGAGGGCCCAGCCCCGGCGGGGGTCAATTATTGGGTAACAGTTATCATCAAAATATTAGCAACAAGCTAGGGTTGAAATCGTAAGGCTAACAGACCTTACATTTGGCATGATAAGATAAAGAAGAAACAGAAGAATATTTACCATCAATTTCAATGCCTTTAGGGACAAAAGGAACAGAACCAGTAGCAATAATTATATCTTTTGCAGTTATCACGTTGTCAGAGAACCCAACTTTTCCATATTTCACCTTTTGAGGACCCTGAACATATCAAAAAATAAAATTGTAAACAACCAATTTATAATGGCTTTACACCCATAAGATAGCATTTACATTAAAGAACAAGCACTAGTTAATATTTCCAGAAATCTGGTTTCATTTCAGAGTGATTGTTGACAGTGACTCCATGTGACAGCATGCATGACTTACCAATACTGTTCCAAAACCTGTCAATATGTCCACACCAAGTGCCTTCATTGAATTTGTTAAATTATTACGAATTTTCGAAGCAAGATTGTTTGCATGATTGGCGACTCCCTGCCTGTCATATCCAGCAGCTGAAACCTTCCATTAATTGCCAAAAAGAACAAGAAGTTAAAATATGGTTGCATTCAGCAAGCAATAAATAAGATATCAAGAGAATGATGGAGAAAAACTTTGAACAAGGTTCAATAAGCTTTGGATAAGTAAGATGCCTATTGAGAACAATATGATAAAAATCAAGTGGTTGAACCAGAGAATGGATGAGAGAGTTCAGAGGAAGGCTAAATTCCTAGAAGTTTCCGGTAGACAGTACCAATATCCTTTTTACAATTACAGTTTAGATGCTATACTATTACTTCCTGCAGTGACAGGTCATGTGTATTTAACCATGGAGTCACCATGCTTTATAAAGAGGGACACCTGTGCCACCACAAATAAGATGGGAAAGGCCATCAATTGTCAATTACCATATTGATAGATATTATCAAGCATCAATTATCATTTTTCTAAAAAGCAAAATTCTTAATGATGGGTAGAAGGGGAACACCCATATACAAGTGAGGCGTGCAAGAGACTAGCCTCACAAAACCAAAATAAAATATCACTATCTAAGCCATTTACAAGATCTAAGAAAGAACCAAAGGAAGGTCTTACCCTCCCTGTAGTCCAACACCAACTTAATAACAAATATGGACAAGCTAAACTTGCCGCTATTAATATAAATCTTCTGTAAGGAAGCTTTCCATAAGAATGGGGTTGTGTGTATTAGGCTTGACCTTCAGAACCTCAGGAGACGTGGTAATACTCTTACCTGCAAACCCAAAGCCTTCAAGTGATGAGCATTCTGAAGTTCACGCATCCGGCCACTTACTGCAAGAAGAGCTTTGGAAGGAACGCATCCTCTGTTTACGCATGTTCCCCCCACCACATCTCCCTCAATTATAGCCGTTTTGAGACCCTGAAATAATTATACCATACTTCAAATAACAAAGAAGAAAAAACTATTTATGTTTTATAGTTTTCAACTCACTAAGTAAGCACAAACCAGAAGGACAATTACCACATGTAAACAACAGTTAAATGAAAAATAGGATTCATCATACTAATGTCTCCCAACTGAGAGAGCAAATAAGCATGCTCTATTATGAGACTAACCTCAAACCTCAATAACGGACTGTAAATGTATTATTTTCGCTTCTTGTTTCCCCGGGTTACTTACATTTCTTTTTTTATTTATATACACACACATATACATTGGTAGATGAGTTGATCACATTTTTCACGACAAAATGTCCATTTTGATTACGTATAGTTAACAAAGGAAGTGACTAAATTTTCGAATATAGACCACAAATATTAATCTAAATGCTATAGCATCATAAATATCTATTTTAAAACAATGGCAAAAATTGCTTTATGGAGTCACCACCAGAAATTAAGGTTCTGTGCGTGTCATCTCATTTCAATGGCATGATCATAGAGCTGAATTGGATCTTGTTGAGAGCGGTATCTTGCAATAAAAAAACAATAAAGATAACTTCTGAAGGATAAATTTGCTTATGAATAGTTGTAATTAGATGACTTAAATGTAAATTAGGATGAAATTAGCAGAAGAATTAAAAGAATTGACTGTCACTTCTAATCTGCTCAGTTCAAACCCAATTACCAGAGAATTATGCAGTACTTTCGACTTACAACAACATAGTTGAAGGAATTTAAACTGACCGATTGTTCAAAGTTAATGAACCAATTCTCCTCTTACCAAAATAACCAATAAACACGAACTTTACACCAAATTCAACTAGGCAACTGAATCGTACCTTCTCTACGGCATGCAACGCAGCTCCGTGACCACCGACGCCAGCTCCGATGATGACAAGGTCGTAATCAAACGATTTCGGAGGACTTCCATTGTCGGACAAGGAAGCTAAGAGCTTCTTGGAGTGTCTTCGACTCGATACTTGAACTTGGTGAGAGTCGGACCTCTTGAGCTGATAAAACCCTAGAAATTCTCTTCTGAGACCACAGAAATTGAGGTTAAGAGGCTGGGAGGGAGTGAATGAACAGAGTTCGAAGTTGTGGTTTGATCTGACAATGGCAGAGGAAGATAGATGGTGAGGTATAGAGAGAGAAAGTGAAGAATGCATTGTGGAATTGTAGAGTGAGAGGACGAGTAGGGAGGGAGAGAGAGATCGATCTGGAGAGATGTGTAGTTGATGGGGGAGTATTGGACGTGTTTTGGTTGGAGGCCTCGATGGGTCCGGGAGACGGAGATTTCAAAGTGCGGCGGATAAACCACCCCACTTCTCGTGTTGCTAACGTACACGGGTGTTGATTCACCCATTCTTTTTAGTTAGGACATGAGAAATCACTCATGCACGTGCTTCAAAGATCTAAAAATTGATATGGTAGGGGTTAATTTCGGATAAAAATCACGTTAAAATAACTTTTAAAAATTTGGTTAATTTTCCTTGCGCCTCTTTATATTTTATATTTGCTTAAATATTACTTTGAAATACTTTTTGAAAAATACTATCACTCACACCCCAGATCACTTTTCTGTTACTGATACTTTCAAAATTATTCTCATTTTTTAATGCCTTCTAATTTAGGGATTTTTACATATCAATGGGCTTAGGGGTCCATATTTACTCATTGATTGAATCAAAGTCATATATTTTCAAAAAAAATGTGTTTGACCTGAAAGATGATATGACACATGAATTTTTATTGTTTAAAGTTTGTGTTGACTAAAATGTCCTTCTCCCTATTTTTTATGTTCCCTAAAATGCCATTCCCCGTATTTTAATATATTTACCTTATTGTAGCCCTAATGCTATTTCATAATCCCATTTGTGCAGCCCTTTCTCTCTCCCCCTCTTTGTAACAGCGATCAGCCCTAACCCTCACTCATAATCCCATTCGTGCAGAGCCCTCTCTCTCTCCCTCTCTTTCTAACAGCAATTTAAGCATAGCCCTGACCCTCTTTTGTGCGCCCTCTCTCTCCCCGTCTCTGTAACCCAGCGAAGCAGCATTCCCACTTCTCCACTTCCTTTGGGTGGATCTCCCCCTTCGTTTGGGTCACTGTGTTTCTGTAAACTGGTAAATACTCCCCCCCCCCCCCCTCTCTCTCTCACACACACACACCCCCTGTTTTGGGTGGATCTCCCCCTACCCGTTTTGAGCACCATTTAGTTTTAGTAATTTGCTCAATTGATTATGTGCTTGAACTTTGACCCTTAGAGTTTACAATTTAAGTTAATTTACATGTGTCAATTGGTGTCAAATTTATACCATAAAGATAATTCAAAATTACTTCAAACTATAGCTATATTGAATCAAGATTTTAGACATTATAGATAGTTTAATACGGTTCAAACTATAGTTCCTGAATTAAGAATTTTTAATTATTTTTACACATATTAACACTTAAAAATGTTTCTACATATTTCAATCTGTTTAATTTGGTTCTGATGAATTCATCTATCAGCTTAATCATCCAGACAAAAAAAAAAAAAAAACCATTCACGCTAGTGCCGATTACATCAATTGTGTATTTGTGTGTGTTCTTTGGTACAAACATCAGAGGGAGACATTTAGTGGGGAACAACTAATTCCTTTCATCGATGATGTTAATTAAGAATATATCAGTCCTGGATTATAAATTAGTTCAGTTTAGGGTAACACATAACATATAAAAACAAAGATGCCTCTCTGTTGTGATGTGATGTGCATTGCCATGACCGACTTTTGCATCAAACTGCCTAATGACACCTATTATAAACGATAACATGCAAACTGAGATGCCAAACAGAACCCATCAACAAATGACTTGGACTACATATATCATATTGGATTATTATCAGTTCTTTATACCAAATAGAGTTGTGATGCCAAAACAGAGTGAGATGTGATGCCAAACTGCCGAATGCCTCTCTATTTTGAAGTGATTTTATTCCATTCCCCCTCCACCCCCCCCCCCCCCCTCCCTCCTCCCCCACCCAAAAAAAAAAAAAAAAAAAAAAAAAAAAAACAAAACAAAGAGTGCATTGCAAAGATAATTCCCTTTCTTGTAATGTAATGTGGCTTTCTATAACTGATAACAATCAAACAAGACACAAAGATATAATATATTTGGCTATTAGAATTGGTAATTGCTCAAGCCATGAACAAATAGAAACAAAAGACGCATTTACTTACTAGCTACAAATACCATCTTCTCACTATCTCCTTTTATCCAAAGAAAATTCTCCACCAATTAACCAGAGTCCTCCTTAATAGTTGCTCGATCGTTTAATTATTAGGGATTTTTACATATAAATGGGCTTAGGAGTCCATATTTACTCATTGATGAGTCAAAGTCCTATATTTTCAAAAAAAATGTACTTGACCTAAAAGAGGACATGGCACATGAATTTTTGTTGTTTAAAGTTTGTGTTGCCTAAAATGTCATTCTCCCTGTTTTCTATAGAGTCAAGGGAAAGATTCAATAGGATGATTGTTAGAGACGTTTATTCTCCTTGTATAATTTACATTCAATTTTGAAATATATACTGTGAATGAAGTTGAATTTTACCAACTGAAATTTAGTAACTTTAGTTAGTTAAAACTACACTCAAGATAAATTAAAAACAATCAATGATTTAAAAGAAAATAAATAAATATCCCGGTTAAGCAATTGTATAAGTGAAAAAGATAGATAGACCCAACTAATCCCGATCAGTTTTAGAGGCTCACTTGGAAACCAATGGAAGCAAAACAACAAATGAAATGGTTAAGGCTCAAAATAAGACCAATTAAGGCTCAAGTTTAAATAATCATTTTGAGACTCATCTGAAGAAACTTCTTCTTATAATTCAATTATGCTTTCACTTTGAAATGTTAAAAGATTTAGATTTGTGGAATTGAAGAGTTTTGTTTATATTAATATGTTTTGGGCGCTTAGTTGATAATTAATTGTGTGTTTGAACTTTGAATGTCCTAGTTTTTTTTTTTTTTTTTTTTGGGTAATGAGCATGGTGAAATTTCTCTCACTTCTTAATGTTTCTGTAGCTATATAATTACCCACGTGTTTTTTTCCTTTTATCTGTTCCATTGGGTTAAGTGATGCTTTATATATGCTTCATATAAGTGTGTTTTACCTATTATTAACGTGCTTATTCAGATTAATTCTAAGGAATGTGTATTGAATTAATGAATTAGGAAAATATGAGTACTCCTAAGTTGATAAACATTGAAAAGTGCACATTTAAACCCTTTAAACTTGAACATTCTAGTACCCTATTCTATCTTATTTTCCCGTTTTAGTCTAATTTCATGTTATTCCCCTTTTCAGGCACTTATCCCTAAAATAAGTCAATTCAGCTGAATTAGAGCATAAAAGATGCAATCTCAAGCTCAGTGGAAGAAAGGAGTAAAGTGGAAGCAAATTGGAGCCTTTTTCAATCGATCAAAACAAGCTCCAATCGATCACACAGTGATCGTTCTAACCATGCCAAGATGGATCGAGCCTTTTGTCCTTATCCTTAGTAAAATATCTTATTTGGTCGATTTAATATTTCCTTCGATCGATCGAACCCTTTGATCTTATCCTCACTTACCACTTTTGTCTTTTTCTCAAAAATATCTCAGCCTGGTCATTATTCCAAAAAGGCGCAGTCATAGTTCAATCGATCGAAGCAACCTCGTGATCGATCGAACTGCCTCAAGTTGCGTGAAGTTGATTTCAAGCCAAATTAAATGTGTGCTTGTAGTGCAATCATTTTGAGGTCCTAGTGCATGAGGTCTGACCATTGTATGTGACACTTGAGCTACCTATATGAGGATTTTGGCTATTTTGAGTAGAGAGGTTGGTTAATTAGAGAGACTTGGCTAGAGATTAGAGAGAGAGATGCACACCATTTGGGAAAGTTCTTTCACTCATCTAGGGTTTCCACTAAGGAGAAGAAGATCATTTCTACAATGGAGATAGCCCTTGAGGGTTGAATGACAACATCAATGAGTGGCTAAACCATTCTCTTAGGGTTAGAGATAGCCCTAAGCATGCCTCATAGACTTTGATGTTTTGTAATTAAAGGGGATTTGTGTTGTAATTCTTGTCTTGATATCTTATATATATAAATCTTGTTTCTACAATGATTTGTGTGGTTTAATTCTTTCAATTGATCATTTAATTATATCCATATGTCTATGTATGCTAGGATGAATGTTCATGTGTTTGTTTCTAGATTTTGTGCTATTGATGCATGTCTATGTGTGTTGATGCTATGAATCTAGTGATGGTCAATGCATGGTGCTTAAATGGATTACTCTTGTGGTTTATTTGATGGTTCATACTTATTTCTTGATGGATTGTGCCTCCTCCTGAATTTAATTAGTTTAATTCCCATGTCATTAGCTTAATTGTAGTGTAATTGTCTTACTTTCTTAGATAGGAGGACAATCCATACTTATTGTTTGATGTTCCATGCTCATGAATACATGTAGTATATTTCTCTAATCTGATGATGTGCATTAATTGTGGACTTGAAGGAATGAATAATGGTTTAATTTGATATGTTGTGCTATTTACTAGTTTGACTAGACAATGTATGCTTACTTGGCCATCCATGCTTGAGAATTCAATTAATGGCACACACTCTCCTTTTGCAACATATAATCCCCATAATCCATCACGTATAGCTTACCAAATTGTAGTATATATATATATATATATATATATATATATATTGTGTAGCTAAATTCATGATTTAGAGGCATGCTTAACTTATATATATGTAATGTGTAAAGATATCATGTATTTAGTGGCTTAAGGAATTATAGTGTAACAACCCGGAAATTTCCATTCCTTTCCTTTTTCCTGAAATTTTACGAATGAATTTTTTTCGTTTAATTCTCTTTTCTGAGATCTGTTTCTCGTCGTTTAGTGTCATATTAAGTGCTCAAAATTGGCTTCTGAGACTCTTTCGTGTAGATTGACAACTTCCTTTGAGGACCGAGTCATTTCCGCATTTTTACTTTTCGAGACACTATTCACTTTCGTCCTTTTCCCTATTCTGTCTTTTCCCCGTTTGTCAGTTTTTGGCACGACCACACTTTTTGTGTTCGGAGTTAGTTTTTAACTTCACATATCTTGATCGTGAGTGGTTTCCACGAAATACGTATCTTTACTTTTTCAAGAAAGTACTCTGGTTACTCCCGGTGTCCATAGGGGCATGGATGCACAATTATTTGGAATTCTTTTCTTTTCTTGGGGTATTTTTCATAAATATGTTTTAAAAATATTTTATTTCAGGGGTATCTAAGAAAATATCTTTTGGAAGA